TCTTCGGGTTGGGTTGGGGTGGTCTGGTAGGTAGTCAGACCAGGCGCCGTTCTAGTCTGCCATGCTGACGAAATCGTGGAGATTCAGCACCGAACAAGTCCGAGAGGCCACTCGTGCCGAGTCGCAGGAGCTGACCTCATAGACAGCCTGGAGTTTCAAGAGTTGCAACAACAGGTGCGCGACCCAGGCCGCAAGATCGGAGGTCTTGACGTCGAGTGAGAGGGACCCCCCCCTGGACGAGGCCTGGGACCCCCCCCCCAGCTTCTAGGGGGGGCGGGGTTTCCCCCACCCCGTCCGGCGTCCAACCAGGAGCCAGCTCTGCCGCGGCCCCCAGTTCCCTGGGCCCAGGCAGCGAACCAGGCCTGCCCTCTCGACGGGTGCCTTCGGAGGTCCACGCGCTCCCAGGCCCGGCGGGCCGCGTCGGAGGCATAGACATCAAGCCAGAAGAGCCCGGGTCAGGCGGACCCCCCCTCTCCTGTCCCCATTCGGACGGCAGGGAGTGCGGCCCGGCCGGCGTCCTCAGAGAGGTTCGGGAGACTCAGTCAGAACAGTCGAAGACCTTCCTGAGTCCAGAGACGCGCCGCAGCTCTCCGAGACCGCTAGCAACGGAGGACGGGCGAAGGCCGCTCGCCCCGCCCCTCACGACGGGCCCGAGCAGCGGGCCTCGCAGCGGCGTGGCTCAGTCCCGAGAGAGAAGAGCCTGCCCTTCTTGGCCCTGTGATCTATCGAGGCAGGACTGTCCGCTCGGCCTCGATTCCTCGAGCCGCACTTGTTTCCCCATGCGGAGGGCGCGGCAGCTCATCTCTCACTCCTGCGGAGGAGTCGGCGGGCTCCTCTGTCCAGGAGCGCGTCAATGAGCGGGGGAACCAACGAGCCCCCACCCGAGAGAGACAGAGAGAGAGAGGGAAAAACTGCACAGCGCCCGACCGGTTTTCTTTCTTGATCCCTTTACGCTCTCGGACTGGAACTTCCCCTCGGACTCCTCAGAAGACGGTTGCTCTCTGCGTCTGGGCCCCGGGTCAGCGCGAGGGGGGCCCCGATGAGAGCGGCGAGCAGGATCGCGCCGCGCGGGGGGAGGTGTTTGACCATTATCACTCGTTGGGCCGCCTCCGCGACCAGCAGCGGCGGCGGAAGCTGGCGAGGACAGGAAGTCGCGTGGAGTAAGCTCTCGCGGTCCGAGCGAGACGCCTCCAAGAGGTCCGACGCCAAGGAGCAGCAAGCTAGCCTGGACACCCGTGCTGTGAAGGTTGTGCAGCCCGAGCAGGTTAATTTGGTCGGACGTTTCTCCCCCTCTCGCATCTGGAGCCGTCGTGTGGTGCGGAGATGGAAACCCCAGGATGGCCTTTCCTCCGCCCCCACCCCGAAGTCTCGGCGGCGCGTTCGGGGGCACGGCGATCCAGACGCCGAGTCGCCTCAGGTGTATGCTTCGACCCTTCAGGTGGAGTCCATCAGCGTCGTGCTATACATATCATTGCAGGCAAGCGCTGGCGCCTACTGTTCGCAGACGCAAATGGCGCTTTTCGTCAGGCTGATCCCTTATTTCGTCCGAACGGCAAAGTGCATTGCGAGCCCTGTGAGGGCCTGAGGTTACCCCGCGGCAGTCTCATTGAGCTGGTGGCTCCGGTCTACGGACTCGACGACGCCCCGATCCGATGGCATCAGACGCTCACTTCCCGCCTGCACTCCATCGGTATTCGTCGCAGTCTGCTCGGACCTTGTGCGTGGAAGAAGTGTAGCTCCAGCGGGGTTATGCAGGCTATTGTGGTTACAGACGTGGATGACTTGATCATCGGCAGTGAGCCAGGCTACGAGGCCGAACTGACTGAAGCAGTCTCTCGTCAGTCGGTTTCAATTCGGCAAGTGGCAGGAGCAGGAAGCCGAATGCGCCGGAAGACGCGTTCGACAGCTCGACGATGGACGCATCATCATTGACCAAGAGAAGTACATTCTGGAGCAAGTGCATCCCGTCAGTCTTCTCAAAGATTGCAGTTCAAGCCCGGCCGATGACCCACTTTTTTCTTTCAGGGACTACGAGAGCACCAAGGCCTAGTTGCCGAGCTCCAGTTGACGGCCAGGCAGTCCGGGCATAAGGTGCTGCTGGCACTCAAGTACCGCCGCGTGACCCTCAAAGTCCTGCAGATGGTCAACAAAGTGGCCCGTCCCCCACGCAGGACAGCTAAGGTGCACCGGATTATTTGGCTTCAGTATTGAGCAGCCATCACGATGACGGCCTGCTCGGACAGGCGGTCCAGGCTCTGCTAAGGATAGCGGGGCCCAGGGGGGGTGGCTTGTTATGATGGGGGGTCCCCAGGCGAAGGACAGTCGACGCGCTCGAGTTTCCACTGGCCTGGCGCTCCCTGCGCCTCAAGCGCGTCGCATCGTCTACCCTGTCCGCAGAGGCCCTCAATCTGTCCGGTGCTCTGGCCGAGGCCCAACGGGTCTATCTCCGCTTCTGGGATTTGGTTTATGGAGACGGTCGCGGCCCGAAAGGGCGGCGAGGAGACGCGCCCTTTGCTTTCGCCCTCCCACAGAGCAGCGAGATTCAACGCGCGTCGGAGGGGGTGTCAGTAGTGGGCGCCACGTGACTGTTTCACACCCTCTCCAAGAACGCGGGAGGGAGCAAGGCGGACCGTCGCAACGCCAAAGAAATGGCCATAGTCAGAGATACCCTGTCCAAGGAAGGCGGCGCGGTGAGGTGGGCCCCACCGCCGCGCGCTGGCGGACTGCTTGGCCCACGTGGACATTCAGAAGGCTGTCTTGCCCTGTCGGGCCAGGGAACCCTCATGCTGCGAGAAGAGCCAGGGAACCCTCATACTGCGAGAAGAGCCAGGGATCCTCGACGAGAGGTCACTAAATGGCTTTTCTGAAGTTTCGCACGCGCACGGCATCTCGCCGTGCACTCGAGGATCGGCAGACCCAGAGTCGGGCCATTCCCGCGGAGGAAAAGGAGGCAGAGGAGGCTGATGAGGCAGGAGAGTAGGCGGCGGCCGGCGCGGCGGCGGACGGCGGGAGTTAGAGAAAGAGAGAGAGAGAGGGAGAAAGAGAAAGAGAGACCGCTCCCAGCAGGCATCAGTCTCAGGCACAGGGCCTCGTGAGATAGCCACATCGCCCTGCTCATGAGGCCCCCCCCTGCACCGGAGAGGGCCGCCGACCCGCCGGATCTTGGGGGCGCCTCCAGGACTGGAGCTCCCGGTGCCTTCGGTCTTCGGGTCGATCCCGATCGATCGCGAGTCTGAGCTGGAATTCAGATCCGACACAAGGTCGTTTGGGTGGCACAGAGATTGCCACAGTTCGGGGTGTTGTTGCCCTTCTCCTACGCACCCCATTTTCTGAGACCCCACGCGCCCGCCCGAGAGCCCCTCGTGCGCAATTGTGGTGGCTCAAGGGCCCCTGCAGTAACGCGAGGTATCGTGCCTTTCCCATCTCCATCCAGCTTGCCCCCAGTCTAAGACTCCCTCATGATGATGTGCGACGAAGAAACAGGTCTCGCTGACGCTGGGAGCGGGCGGGAGATGTGGTGATTGGGAGGGTTGCAGATGCGCGGCTTGTCTGACGGGCAAGAAAGCGGGCCAAGAAGCACCCCTGTCTGGCGGATGCCCTCGGGTTAGTAAGTTGACCGCTTCGCGTGTTGTTGCCTCTGGGCCACAGGGCTGTGGTTTTCCATCGTTACCACTTCGGTGCTTCTCATTTGCACTAGATGCATGTGCAGCCCCACGGGCGGCAGAGTTAAAGGTCTACGAGACAATGATTATCCCTGCCCCTTCGCGCGACCAGGCACGGCTGGTCGGTTCGAGAAATTGGGCGCCTCTCGCGCTACTCCAAACGAAGGCCTGGGTGCAAGGTGGACAATGGTGACTGTATCCTTGTTTCAAAACATGCGTTGCAGAGTCTGACGCATCCCAGCCCGCGTTCGGAAGCCAGGAACAACTTGGCGCCAGCTCGGAGCCAGCCAGTAAACGCCGTCGTTTAATTGCTCAGGGTGGTTTGTTTAGATACAACAATGATTCGTTCCCTGATTTTGCTGCCTGGCCCGTTTGCGACAGTGAGAGCGAGGGGGAGGGGCGATCGTCGCGTCTCGCAGTTCCCCCCTCTTGCGCCTGCGCCGGTGATTCTGCCATTTTGCAGCGCGCGCTTCTCAGGGACCGACTCCTGAGGACCAGCTGCGGCAGGTCAGGTGCTTATTCGAAATTGAGGAGGAGGTGGAAGGCCGAGCAACACTTGTGTCCTGCGAGGGGCCGGACTGATTCCACATGTCAGTAAATCTGTCCGCCCCGTATTTGCACCTCCCACGCTGCGGGTTTTGTGTCATAGGTGTGATGGCGCCGAGGCCAACGACCACCTGCTGCGTGTCTCCGTTTACCAATGTTTGCCTATTGTTTTTTGTGTTTGTTTCTGTTTCCCCTTGTTTGGGGTTGTCGTCAAGTTGAAAAACTAACCTGCGGATGCTAGTCTTCCAACGTTCCTCGTTCTTTCGGTTTCTATATGTTTCTCGTTTTCCCCGTCTGCTTGCCTGTTCCCCCATGCATGTCTGTGCAACCCCTTTCTGTTTGTGTCCGTTTCTCTGTAGGGGAGGGGGTCCGAGGTAGTAAACCCTGTTTCCACGTGTTTATGTTCCAGCCTCATCTTTCTGTCAATGCATTTTGCTCTCTCTCTCTCTCTCTCTCTCTGCGTTTTCTCCTGCTTGTGGTGTCCGTTTCTCGTTGTCGTTTTATGTCTTTTTGTTTTCCGCATGGAGACGTTCCAAAGTAAGAAACCTTGATCTCTGCGGGTTACTGTCCCATCGGAGAGCTCCAAGCAATACACCACCAGCCCTGCCCAGGTGTATCCTGGGCCCTGGACCGGTGTATAGACACCCAGGCCCAGGCCAGGAGGTCCTGCGCACCACTCCAGGGCCCAGGATGGCTCCGGCCAGGCCTGGTGGCGGTGTACTGTTCGGAGCTCTCCTGTTCCCGCCTCCGGGTTCGACTGCGCCTGCCCCCCCCCCATCACCCGACCCAGAGGCGCGGCCAGCTCCCCCGCGCCGCGCGCGGCGCTGTGCTGCTTCGACCCCTCGGGCGGCGCGGCGGTGCGCCGCCTCGGCGGGCGGGGGGGGACGGTGCTGTCCTCGGTCCCTCGTTTACCTCCTCTTCCCACTCCTCCCCCTCTCCTCTTCGAGGGGGGTCTTCCCTCGTCCCTCCTCATCCCCCTCCTCTTCGAGGGGGCTCCTCCCTGCCAAGTCCTCCTTCCTCCTCCTCGAGGGAGTTCCTCCTCCCTCCTCCTCCGTCCCCTGGGCGTCCTCGTCCTCGATGGGGGGGTCGCTCGCTCACTCGTTGCCCGGAGGCTCGAGCTGGCAGCTCGCACTCCCACAACAAAGTATGATAAGAGGCGGGGATGGGCGGGAGTCCTCGCCGTCCTCACCCACATCAAACCTAACCACCACGCAGGAGATGGGGGAGGAGTCGAATAGCAAGCAACAGCATGAATATGAAGTTCTGGGAGGTCCGCTCGGATTTCTTGGATCGGCGCTGGGCCCCCCTGGCGGCGCCTCCGGCGCCGCCCTTGGAGCGCTCCGCCAGCCAGGGATGGGGGCCCAGCGCAGATCCGATCCAAGAAATCCGCGCGGACCTCTGGTCAGTTTCTGGTGATGCCGTCCCTGCTTCCTCCGAGGAGGGTGGGGAAGGAGAGGAGGGAGGGCGCGAGACGAAGTCGCCGCAGGCGCCGCAACCCCCAGGGCAACTGATCGGGGGTGAGCCAAGCCGCCTGGCGCCAACAGCCATCGGGGTATGGGTGGCGACATACCACAAGGGCCTTTCGTGCTCACTCTGGGGCGGTCCTACGTTATCCTCGACATTTGCTTCTCGTCGAGGGGGGTGTCCGTCTCGTCGAGGGGGGTTCTCCTCCTGCAGGTTCTGTGCGTGCCGTCACGTGCCACGCCACGTGCCCAAGGGCAACACTAAGTGCTCGTGCAGGCTGCTGCAGCGGTTCGCGACATGTTGGACCCAACTTAGAGTCGTATCGAGTCATCCGTCGCCTTCCCCTGCGCCTCTGTATTCACTCGAGGGCGGCCCGCGTGTCCTCGTCCTCCTCCCAGGGCACGCTTCGATCTGATTTGATTTATGGTTCAGCCGACTCGGCCCGATTCGATTCCCGACATCGCGACGATCCAATGTGACCCGATGCTTGCATGGCCTTGTTGTGCATCTTGAGACAGCCGATGCGATCCGATTTCGCTTGCGTGCCAATGCAGCTCGATCCGACGCACATGCCGAGTGGATCTAGGTTTCCAGTTCGATCCTGGCCGCGGTTGCCTCTCCACCTCTTGGATATCTTGATTTTCGATGGGGGTCCTCCTCCTCCGCCTCTGCATTCATGTGACAACGCGAGAGAAGCGGTCGTGCCTGATCTTACCGTATCTCTTCCTCTCTTTTCCTTAACATCCTGTCTTTCGTTGGCCACGTGCGCCGTGGCGGCCAGACAAGTCCTGGATGATAACTCCGCCTCTCATCTGTTCCACCTCTCGCCCCGTTCCCTTCCTGAACGCCCCCCTCCTCCCTACCTCGATGGGGAGTTTTACGTTGCAATGGCTACCATCATGGGATCGCAGCGTCAATGTGAATGAAACTACTCCAGAATTAGGCGATAACGTCGTAACCAAACGCAGACCTGAGTGCAAGCGTCTGGTGAGAGGATGTGCCAAGAGATCGGGGAAAAGCAAAGCAGCCCGATGGGGCATAGAGTAGGTGCGCAGCAGGTCGCAGGGGGAGGCGAGCGAATCGATCTGCGAGGTCGAGGACGCTCGTTGGGGCGTCAGTAAGAGGAGGCAGAACAGGAGGAGGATGCCAAACAGATTTGCCTCACATCTTCCGCACTTGCTTGCAGTGTAGTGTGTTGGCCACAGCGCCGGAGTCCGCTTCTGCGCACCTTCTTTCTCCCATCCGATCGCAACAGCTGTACAGCTTATGTCCGCTCAACGTGAAAACTACGCGGAGGAGGAGGAGGAGATGCGCTAACGCTCCATGCTGATGCGTTAAGTCCGCGCAACGTCAAAAAATGAAGAGATGCGCCAAGAGATGCGCCGGAGGGGGGGCGGGCGTCTACGGCCCAGGTGTCTGACTTCGTGATTGGCTCAATCCCCGTGGTTCTCCTTCGATCCAGGGGTTGGGGGAGGGCGCTTTCGGGTTCATGAAAGGGCCATCAGCGGCGGTTCCGGGACGAGTGACCTGTGAAAAGGGCCAGGATTTATTTGAGGGGCCAGTGAACGGGGCAAACATACATCGTCGGATGTCGGTTCGGGGGGTACGCTCGGGAACGGGAGCATCGAGTTTCGAGGATCTCGAATCCAGGTTTTCGGCATGCGGGTCCAATCGGCGCTCTGGTATACGACAACCCCCGCCGGGTTTACTTGGCACATGAGCGCAGACGTTCTTTCAATTCCGAACTCCCGCCAGCGTCTCAGAAATCTGACTGGCAGGGGTAGCCAAGGCAGAAACAAACAGCACACGTGAACGAAAACTTTCCGAGCTCCGCGACAGCCTCTGACAGTCTCTGTTCATTGGGTCGTCCACTCTTTTGTTTTCCAGGCAGGCAGGGCTGGCAGTCCGATTCGTTCCGCTGCGCTCCCAAGATTCCGACTTCGGTTCCAGTCTGGCACGAACCGTCCCCTTCTGGCCTGCACAGGCCGAGCCCGATCCGCGGTCCCAGCGGGCCCGATTCTGATCTGAGTCCGCGCCGACGGGCCAGATCCAATCCGAGTTTGCGATCCGATGCGATGTCATGATTTGTGAAGGGGCCCTGGGACACAAATAAAGATACACAACTCCCAGGACTCCCCACATTTTATCATATATTGTCTGGATGTTCGTCTTGCCCCCCTCTTCCCATGTTTCCCTATCGTTTCTTGGGGATCGACGTTTAATTGGGACTGAGTGTTTTTCCCCTCCTGAATTTGA